TAGATAGATAGATAGATAGATAGATAGATAGATATTCCTGACTAATCCTCCATCTCTTGGGGAAAACTTTAAGTATTTCACCATTAAATATGATGTCTGCAGTAAGTTATTTGAGGATACGCTATCAGGTCAAGAGGCATTTATTCAACAACTGGCAAACTTTCTGATTCTAGCAAAGATTGATTAAATTGAATAGCCCTGCAAAATGCTAATAATTGAAGAATTTAGGTGAAGGGTATACAGAAGTTTATTGTAATATTATCATAACTTGTCCTTGAAATTTGTTTAAGATAAAATGTTAGACAAATGCAGACAAAGTATAGCCCTATTTTACCTTGAAGTTTGACTTTCAACAATTTTAATAGTACCTCTTTACGTATTGTGTAGAGGTAATATGATGACTAGTAGTGCTGTCCAAATTTTCCTTAGTTTGACCCTTACAATAACTTTGTAGTGAGTGCTGTTCAAAACCCTTGCCCTTTAGGAACCATCAGTCAGTGTTCTCAGCTGCAGAATGTAAATTAGGAGTCCTAGGTATTCAGAAATGCTATAGTGAATACACAGAAGGGTCTCCAAACATGGAAATATACTTTTGGTGGTTGAAAGACATATTGTATACTAGTTAGAGCCAGAGATCTAGAGTCAGATTGTCTGGATTTGAATCCTAGCTTCACAGATCACTTAGCTGTGAGACCTTGGGAAAGTCACATATTGTCTGTAAGCCTTAGGTTTCTTAAAAATCTAGAAATGATGACAATAACAGTATTTACCTTCCAGAGTTGTGAGGATTAATACATTAAAATTAAAAATGATACTCATAAAACTCTTGGCACAAGAGCTTGGCACATAGTACGTACTCAGTAAATGTTATTGATTAAAACTAGGTATTTTTAAAAGCCTTTTGAATTTCTCCTCAGTCTTGGTGATGACATAATGACCCTTACTATATAGATTCTTTCATAAATACACACAAACCTAAGAGAAAAAAATGCAAATTTAAAGAAAATTCCACCTAAAGTTGTATCTATTTATACACACACATATATACACACATACACCTGTGCATATATGTATGTGTGTATGCATGTGTGTATATCTCTATTGTAGAAATAAAAAACTAGCAGGCCAAATTCAGCCCACAGACAGGTTTTATTGGTGTTTAAATTTGTATTAGTGGCCAACTAACCAAAACATCAAAAGATCTTCCCCTAGAAATTCTCATGAAAATTTGAAAAGTAAGCCTCTTTTGAAAAATTGGAAGCCTAGCAATGTGAACCAGATTATTGTGGGCACTAAGCTTGTAAGTGATTCCTGGTACAGTGTAAATGAAAATTGTACTAAGTGCTAAGCTGAAATCTATCTTTAAAAAAATAAAATAACTGGCCGGGCGCGGTGGCTCAAGCCTGTAATCCCAGCACTTTGGGAGGCCGAGACGGGCGGATCACGAGGTCAGGAGATCGAGACCATCCTGGCTGACACGGTGAAACCCCGTCTCTACTAAAAAATATGAAAACTTAGCCGGGCGAGGTGGCGGGCGCCTGTAGTCCCAGCTACTCGGGAGGCTGAGGCAGGAGAATGGCATAAACCCGGGAGGCGGAGCTTGCAGTGAGCTGAGATCCGGCCACTGCACTCCAGCCTGGGCGACAGAGCGAGACTCCGTCTCAAAAAAAAAATAAAATAAAATAAAATAAAATAACTGAGTGTTGGTGAGGTGCCGTGAGATTCAGACATTGATGGCTAGGGCACAAAGTGGCAATTCTGGAGACCACTTACTCCACATTGATCAAGAGTCTTATGTCCACTCCGTGTACCCCACAACTGGAAACATTTTCAAAGCTTTTTGCACAGAGATATTAATTGTGTCCTGTATAATATTGAGAAACTGGGGAACTGTTAAAGTTCCACTAAATGGGAAATGATTAAAATATGGGATATACATAATTAGAAGACTATGAGCTATGAAAACAGTTAAGTGTGAAAACAAAATAATAATATGAGAAATGCTAACAAGATAATGCTGGAGAGAGGCAAAGAAACAAAGTTTTTAAAATTTTTTTATTAAAAATGGTATATATTTATGGTAATACAGCATGATGTGTATGTATACATTGTGGAATGGCTAAATAAAGCTAATTAGCATATGCGTTACCTCACATTCTTATTTTTTGGGGAGGTGAGACAGTTTTGTATATAATAATGGCAGCTACTTAAAATTATAGAGAAAGACTGGGCACAGTGGCCCACACCTGTAATCCCAGCACTTTGGGAGGCCGAGGCAGACGGATCACCTGAGGTTGGGAATTCAAGACCAGCCTGGCCAACCTGTTGAAACCGCGTCTCTACTGAAAATACAAAAATTAGCTGGGCATGGTTGCGGGCACCTGTAATTCCAGCTATTTGGGAGACTGAGGCAGGAGAATCACTTGAATCCGGGAGGTGGAGGTTGCAGTGAGCAAAGATCGCACCATTGTACTCCAGCCTGGGCAACAAGAGCAAGACTCCATCTCCAAAAATATATACATATATATATACACATAGAGAAAAATGTTATAGTGGAAAAAGGGGCCGGGCACAGCGGCTCATGCCCGTAATCCCAGCATTTGGGTGGCTGAGGCCGGCAGATCACTTGAGCTCTGGAGTTCAAGACCAGCCTGGGCAACATAGCAAAACCCTGTCTCTACAAAAAATACAAAAATTAGCCAGGCATGGTGGCACACTTATAGTTCCAGCTACTGGAGAACTTGAGGTGGGAGGACGGCTTAAGCCCAGAAATTTATAGTGAGCTGAGATCATACCACTGCACTCCAGCCTGGGCTACAAAAGCCAGACCCAGTCTCAAAAAAACAGTTAGAAAAAAGGGAACACTTATACACTCTGGTGGGATTATAAATTAGTACAGCCACTACGGAAAATAGTATGGAATTTCCTCACATTAAAAATAGAACTACCAGCCGGGCACGGTGGCTCAAGCCTGCAATCCCAGCACTTTGGGAGGCCGAGACAGGCGGATCACGAGGTCAGGAGATCGAGACCATCCTGGCTAACACGGTGAAACCCCGTCTCTACTAAAAAAAAAATACAAAAAAACTAGCCGGGCGAGGTGGCGGGCGCCTATAGTCCCAGCTACTCGGGAGGCTGAGGCAGGAGAATGGTGTAAACCCGGGAGGGGGAGCTTGCAGTGAGCTGAGATCCGGCCACTGCACTCCAGCCTGGGTGACAGAGCCAGACTCCATCTCAAAAAAAATAAAAAATAGAACTACCATATGATCCAACAATCCTATTCCTTGGTATCTGTACAGAGGAAATCAAATCTGTAGAGATACCTATACTCTCACATTTGTTGCAGCACTATTTACAATAGCCAAGATATGAAATCAACTCAAGTGGCCAACATGGCTGAATGGATAAAGAAAATGGGTGTATATATACAGAATGGAATATTCTTCGGCCATAAAAAAAATGAAACCCTCTCATTTGCAGCAACATGGATGAACCTGGAGGACATCATGTTAAGTGAAATAAACCAGACACAGAACGACAGATACCACATGATCTCATTCATATGTAGAATATTTTTTTAAAAAATTAATATAGAAGCAGAGAGTAGAATAGTGGTTATCTGACTGAGAAGAGGGACGGGGTGGAAAGGGGAGGATGAGGAGAGATTGGTCAGTGGATACAAAGTTACAAATAGATGGTAGTAATAAGTTCCAGTGTATGTTTTTTTTGTTGTTGTTTTTGTTTTTTGGAGAAGGAGTTTTGCTCTTGTTGCCCAGGCTAGAGTGCAATGGCGCTATCTCAGCTCACTGCAACCTCTACCTCCCAAGTTCAAGTGATTCTCCTGCCTCAGCCTCCCGAGTAGCTGGGATTACAGGCATGCACCACACACCTGACTAATTTTTGTATTTTTAGTAGAGACGAGGTTTCTCCATATTGGTCAGGCTGGTCTCGAACTCCCGACTTCAGGTGATCCGCCTGCCTCGGCCTCCCAAAGTGCTGGGATTACAGTCATGAGCCACTGCACCTGGCCTAAGTTCTGGTGTTCTGTGGCACACTGGGGTGATGACGGCTAACAGTAAGGTGTAGTATATTACAAAATAGCTAGAAAAGAGGCTTCTGTATATTCTCACCACAAAGAAATAATAAGGTGATGGATATGCCTAATACACTGATTTGGTCATTATACAGCATAGTATATATGTACCGAAACATCAAACTGTGCTTCATAAATATGAAGCAATAACAATTGGTCAATAAAAGTAAAATAATAAAGAAATGTATTATTTATTATTATTATTATTATTTTAGAGTCTTGCTGTGTTGCCCTGGAGCACAGTGGCACAATCTCGGCTCACCACAACCTCTTTTTCCTGGGTTCAAGCGATTCTCATGCCTCAGCCTCCTAGCAACTAGGATTACAGGCATGCGCCACCACACCAGCTAAATTTTGTATTTTTAGGAGAGATGGGGTTTCACCATGTTGGCCAGGCTGGTCTCGAACTCCTGGCCTCAAGTGATCCACCTGCCTTGGCCTCCCAAAGTCCTAGGATTACAGGTGTGAGCCACTGCACCCAGCCAAGAAATATATAAAAATGACGTGCATATGTTAATGGAATTCTTTACTTTTCATATTTCTATATTAATTTTAACATTTGTATGTCTATTTTGTGTACTTTATCTTTAAACTAAGCCTCAGAGAAAGTCATCCCCCATTGACCATTCTCAGACCATCCCACACCTGCAAAATCCTCTTCCCCAAATAATCTAAGTCCCCAGTGTTCAGCCTATGACTCACTCAGATCCTTATAGATCTGTTTTGTTTACCTTCTTTTATGAATACCACCTCATATCCCAAGTTGTTGTTATTCTTTCCTTAATCAGTTTACTGAAATAGAGATAAATAATGCATAAAGAATTTAGGATATAGTAGGCACTCGGTGTTACTGTAAGATAGTTTCCCTCCCACTCCTTTTATTTGCATACCTCTCTCTCCCTTTCAGGAGATTAGCAGAGGCGTTTCATATCAGTGAGGATTCCGATCCTTTCAATATACGTTCTTCAGGATCAAAATTCAGTGATAGTTTGAAAGAAGATGCCAGGTATGTAACTTGTTCCCTGCTTTCTTAATTGTGGCTTGTCAGAGGGTTTGGTCTTTTGAGATGTCATAACTAATATGTGCTCCTCCTGTGATTGAGCCAGTTCAAGTTTGTTTGTTTATCTATTGTAAAAGATTACATGCTGTTTAATAAATATCCTTCTCTTGGTTTTTCAAAACTGTCCCCTTAAAGAACTGAACTTGGGGTAGGTTTGAGGTAAGAGTTTGGATGGGGCGGTGCTAAGAGTTTGGGCCTCCAAAGGGCTAGACTAGACTAAATTGGAGGATCTCTGGGCTTCATTCCGCCTCTGTCCACCTGAGTCTCACATTTGCACGAGTTCTCACTTGGAGCTGTAACAGCTCTTATTTTTCTCCTGGAGTCCCTGGCCCTCCAGTGGCTACTTCTCCTTTCATCTTCTCATTTCTTACATTTTTCTCTTTTGTTCTTTCTTCCATCACAGTCATCCTTCTGTTTTCTGACAATTCCTAATCTCTGCAGTTTTTCTGCCAGCATTGTCTATTGTCTCCACTTTACAGGGAGAGGATGGGTGAAAGGCGTTCTCAGAAGGGCAGGGACAGACAAAAGTAACTGCAGTGATTTCTCATTTTCAGGAAGGACTTAAAGTTTGTCAGTGACGTTGAGAAGGAAATGGAAACCCTCGTGGAGGCCGTGAATAAGGTTGAAGTGGAAACATCCCACTGGACATTTCTCTAAGGCCAACTTGATGGAAAAAAAAAAAAAAAATCAAGTCCTGGAAACACTGTCAACCCAGAGTAGTTGTAGGAAAAAGTCACAACTTCTTCAAGGATCCTTATCTGTCTCAAAACACAGCCATTATACCATCTGTGGAAGCCTGTCCTGGTTCAGGACAGTTGACTGCAGAAAAGATCTACAGTCGGCCAGGCGCAGTGTCTCAGGCCTGTAATCCCAGCACTTTGGGAGGCCGAGGCAGGCAGATCACCTGAGGTCAGGAGTTCTAGATCAGCCTGGCCAACGTGACAAAACCCCGTCTCTACTAAAAATATAAAAATTAGCTGGGTGTGGTGGCGGGCACCTGTTATCCCAGCTACTTGCAAGACTGAGGCAGGAGAATTCCTTGAACCCAGGAGGTGGAGGTTGCTGTGAGCGGAGATTCTGCCACTGCACTCCAGCCTGGGCAACAAGAGTGAAACTCCGTCTCAAAAAAAAAAAAGGAAAAAGAAGGAAAGAAAAGATCTGCAGTCAGCTGTCAATAAAGGCCAGGCGTGGTGGCGCACACCTGTAATCCCAGCACTTTGGGAGACTGAGGCAGCAGGCGGATCACTTGAGTCCGGGAGTTCGCGACCAGCCTGGGCAACATGGCAAAACCCTGTCTCTACAAAAAATAAAAAATTAGCCAGGTGTGGTGGTGCACACCTGTACTCCCAGCTACTCAGGGGGCTGAGGAAGGAGGATTGCTTAAGCCCGGGAGGTCAAGGCTGCAGTAAGCTGAGGTAGAGTCACTGTACTCCAGCTTGAATCTCCAGCTTGAGATCCTGTCTCAAAAAAAAAAAAAGAAAGAAAGAAAAGAAAAATACTGGCTAAATGCCTACGAATGGATGAAGAAACTCTGGGTGAGGGGTCTCAATACTGATAGTTGAGTGACTGTGTGGGACACTTAGGAAGACACTCTAGCCCCTCATATCTTTGATGGGCTATTGTATGCTAGGAAAGCCCACTGATTCTTTATATTCTAAAGGCAGGAATGTCCCCTTTGGGAAGGATAAAAGTTGTATGACTATAGCCGGAGAGCAGTGGGATAGACTTCTTCAGAAGAGGGAGACCCCTGTCCTAGAGGCAGCCAGGGATGTCACAGAGGTAGCTTTAAGCGAAAAAGTCTTGAGGTTAGTCAGAAGCTCCCAGCGCTGCATTGGCTCCCTCCCTCTTCCATCAGAGGGGACTGTGAGTAAGGACGAGATAGCTGCTTTAGCCCCTGTGTCTAATGCTGGTGGTTTTCCTTCCCAGTCTCCTTACCCTCTTCCTATTCCCCTCCTTTCCTTCCTTCTGTTACCACTTCCCAGCAGAATACTAACATGAAGGAGAAAATGGAGTGCATTGTTCCTCTCCTAATTAAGAAACCCGAACAGATATATTTCTCTGCTTGTGTGTCTATATCTGAATACTCATGATTTTTTTTTTTTTTTTTTTTTTGAGACGGAGTCTCGCTGTGCTCCCAGGCTGGAGTGCAGTGACGTGATCTCGGCTCGCTGCAGCTTCCGCTCCCGGGTTCACGCCATTCTCCCGCCTCCAGCCTTGCCCAGTGGCTGAGATTACAGGTGCCGCCACCACGCCCGGGCTAGTTTGTTATTTGTATTTTGTAAGTGAGGATCGGGGTTTCACCATGTTGGCCAGGAGTGGTCTCGATCGCCTGACTCGTGACACCCCGCTCGGCATCACCAAAGTGGCTGGGATTACAGGTCTGACCACCGCGCCGGCCAATACTTTCAGGATTTCTAAAGTAGAACATACTTTAAAGGAAAATAATCTTTTCTGTTTTGTAAGTCTTTATTTAGTTATTCTGGGGAAGTATCACCCACTCCCCGTGGATGGGAACCTATTAGGAAGGAACATTACGCTGTCTTATCTAATCGGTGGTTCACTTACCTTTGTCCCTAACCCCTGTCCAAGCTGCTACGTGTGGGCTAACAGAGTAGGTGAACGAAGTGCATGCAATACCCATCTTCCAAACTCTCCAGGTGCTTGGCAGTTAGTAAAACTCTAGCTTGTGGCCTCTAAATTAACCTCATTGATCCGCGTAATTCTTTTTTTTTTTTTTTTTTTGAGACGGAGTCTCGCTTGTGCTCCCAGGCTGGAGTGCAAGTGGCGTGATCTCGGCTCACTGCAAGCTCCGCCTCCCAGGTTCATGCCATTCTCCCGCCTCAGCCTCCCAAGTAGCTGAGACTACAGGCGCCCGCCACCACGCCCGGCTAGTTTTTTGTATTTTTAGTAGAGACGGGGTTTCACCATGTTAACCAGTATAGTCTCGATCTCCTGACCTCGTGATCCACCCGCCTCGGCCTCCCAAAGTGCTGGGATTACAGGCTTGAGCCACCGCGCCCGGCCTGATCCGTGTAATTCTTGTGTGGTAAGATTAGTTGTAAGCCTTTTGTTTTCAGAATGATATGATCAATCTGTCATCTCTTCCCTTAATACAGGGAAAGAATAGTAAGAAAAGCCACAGCTTCCCTCCCATGAACAGAGACCACCGCCGGATCATCCATGACCTGGCCCAAGTTTATGGCCTAGAGAGCGTGAGCTATGACAGTGAACCAAAGCGCAATGTGGTGATCACTGCCGTCAGGTAGGTCGATCCCACCATCAGAGGAAGAACTCCTAAGCAGGGCAAACTGGACCCAAGAAGCAGGGTCTGTCAATATTTGTCTTTCTTACTACCACTCTCCCTCTTGGAAAAGTAGAAGGAAAATCTGCTACTCTGGCACTTCCCTGATAATCTAAAGGCCTGAGCCAAAGAGTAAAACCTACGCCTCGATCCATAGGGCAGATGCACTCAAAATGCACAAGTGTCACATCTGCCTACAGTCATACCAGATGGCGGAAGCAGCATTTCTTCAGGCAAGGGGGCCTGCCCATCATAACTGCTCTTTTCTCCTTCTGTCTCCTGGTCCTCTGTCTGTCCTCTCCTTGGCTCTGTCCTCTTGGCAGAAAACAGAAAGAATGCTAAACTCTGGTTCAAGGCACCCTCTGTGAATGGTGTTTTTACCATCAGAGGAAACTGAAGCAGTAATGTGACCAGGAGGGGACAGGGAGGACCTAGGATCACTCTCAGAACCTGGGAATAGGAAGAACTTCCCAATGAAGAAAACTTAAGTCTGACATGAAAGGAAGCAAGCCACAGGCCTAGCATAGATGGGTGGAAGGGATAGGGGGTTAAATGCAGGTGGCCATGCCTGAGAGCAGACAGTTCATACCAGAGAGTGCTCAGTAGGTCATAGTGCCAAAATCATGGGCTGAGTTTCTAGCTTTCTGTCCATCTCCACCAACGATTCTCACTTTTCAATGCTTGGTGTTTTGACTTTTATCAGGGGGAAGTCCATTTGTCCTCCTACAACGCTGACAGGTGTGCTTGAAAGGGAAATGCAGGCACGGCCTCCACCACCAATTCCTCATCACAGACATCAGTCAGACAAGTAAGATTCTCCAGCTGCTTTCCAAGGGGACCTATCTGTCCAGAAAAGCCAGCAGGAGTTGAATTGTCCTGGGCTGCACCAGCCATTGATGGCCTCCTCAGGCCTTGCCTTGGGGTGCCGTGTTCATATATGTAATGTTTAGTTGGGGTATCAGACACATTTGTTCCCACCACAGGGGTCCTAAGTTTGATGTTTGTAGTGCTTGATTCTAGAGAGAGCAGTCACTGGACGTAGTTTCCACGGTGTAGATGGTGACACTGGGAAGTGGATTCAGTCTGTCACACCAGATGGTTTAAGACTGAAACATCATGTAGTTAAGAATAGTTACTCTGGGCTGGGCGCGGTGGCTCACACCTGTAATCCCAGCACTTTGGGAGGCCAAGGCGGATGGATCACTTGAGGTCAGGAGTTCGAGACCAGCCTGGCCAGCAAGGTGAAAACCCATTTCTACTAAAAAATACAAAAAAGTAGCCGGGTATGGTGGTGGGCACCTGTAAACCCAACTGCTTGGGAGACTGAGGCAAGAGAATCACTTGAACCTGGGTGGGAGGTGGAGGTTGCAGTGAGCCGCGATCACGCCAGTGCACTCCAGCCTGGGCAACAGAGAGACAGACTCCGTCCCAAAAAAAAGAACAGTTACTCTGAAGATGGAAGTGGGTGTGGGGATGAGAATTGCCGGTGACAGGGGTGGGTGGTACTTTCTTGTTTTGCTCTGTCTACTTCTGTATGGTTTGAATAATTTTAATAACAAACATATTCATGATTTAAAGAGAAAAGAAAGCCAAGCTGGCAAGGGGCAAGTCTGCCAGATGTTTTCTTGGACGGGAGCAGGGAAGGAGCTCTGAGAGTTGGGAGACTATTGGGCTTTATTTGGAGAAACCAGAATTGTGGCCCGAAACCAACTTTAGAGCACTTAGTCATACCCTCAGTTGTCCCAGTTGTTTGTCACTTGTCAGGGAGAGGAAGGGAAGGCGGGATGGTGCTCCTCTGCTGCCCCACTGTAACCAAGGCAGTGTGGCTAAAAGTTACTTCAAAGCCCAGAAGGAGAGGGGTGCCTACTCCCGTTCTGGCTTTCCACAAACAAGTCCTAGCAGTGCCTCCTCTGTGATTCCTGCACAAAACCTCTGGAAGGGTGGTTAGGGCAGTTTACAAGGTCACCATGAAGGTCATAGCACTTAGTGTTCCTGTGGGACTGGTAGGTGTTGCCCACTGGGCTCTGACTCAGCCAAGAGCGTCCTGGTCCCCAGGACCAGCCCCTCTCCACCCCTAGGAGCTGAGTGCCCTAGGTTCTGGTCAGCACAGCCTACAAATCCATATGGGCGGTCACTTTGGAAACATGAGGGGTTTTCTCAGACACTGCCACAGTTGGGTCCAGTCCTGCTTAGACACAACCATGTGAAGTTATTGGCCCCTTTATCCCATGCTATCTTTTTGAAAACACTTTGCTTGCTTTATTTTTGTACAAAACTCCATTACAGAAACTTTTTAGAGCAGAGAGGATAGTATTACTATCATAAATGCCCATGTGCCCATTGCCAAATTTCAAAATCACCAGCTCACGTTTGTCCCACTATCAAAACTTCACAAGTGAGATGCTCGCTTGGCTTAAGCTATTAACTGAGCATTCATTGAACTGTGAAGGCAGGGAAAAACAATCATCATGTATGAAATACTGTGAATAGATTGTCAAAGGTTATCTCTAAACTGTAAAGTGTAAATAGAGAATTTGTTATCTCACAGAATGAAATTCCCCATGTAATATGTAAATCTAGAAAAAACAAAAGTTAAAAAATTATTCACAAAGGGCAGAAGGAAAAAAGTAAGAATAAAATAAAAATAAAGTAAATGTTTAAGCTTCACAAATGGTAAATCAGCTGATCCTTAACTTTCTGAAGACCTATATCTGTTTCCCCCAAAGAAGAAAAGACTGATCATTCTTTGTTTGTTTTTCAGGAATCCTGGGAGCAGTAATTTACAGAAAATAATCAAGGAGCCAATAATTGACTATTTTGATGTCCAGGACTAAGATCAAGGTGCCCTTAGATAAAAAAATGATTAGGTGTAGTGAGGACTCATTTGCCAGCAGATAAATCATGCCTGTTCCCCTCTGGCAGAATCACAGTCTCACATACTGTCTTGTACTGACACATCCAAAGCATGAGTGTGTCAGAAATCCCTTGTCTATTCCTATCTGTATAAAGTGTTTCATTATGACCAGATCTCCGATTGTATGGTCACTAGGTATGCAATTGTGTATTCAAAGAGGCTCTTCACACCATCACTGTGATTCCTCTGAGAGTTGGGGGACTATTGGGTTTTATTTGGAACAAACCATACTTTTAGCCTGAAACCAACTTTATGCCACTAAGTCATAGCCTCAGTTGTCCCAGTTATTTGTTCTCCTGAAAATGCCTGAAACATCAGACAGACATTGCTTGCTTTACCCAAACTGATTAAACTCTTTAGGAGCGCAAATGAATTTCTTAGTCTGAAATACCAAATAATGAATTGGTATACCATATCTGAAATTACACATGTTGTCTTAAACCCAGCCATCTTACCTAAGTCTTTTGCCAAAACCTCTCATAGGTATATTTAGCTGAACTTACTTTAGCGTTTCCCAATGTGATCAGTTCTAGACCTAGAAGGGGTCTAAAACTGCTTTACAGATTTCCATTTCCTTAAGTCCCCTGGCACTTATTGTATCACATCACTGAGCCTGTTCAATAACAATCAGTTTGGCCGTCCCCCATGATGGTAGGGGATATATAGAGCAAGTTTTTCTGCCAGGTTCACACTGTGGTCTCTGAACTGACCAGTATATTCCTAACTCCTCTCTGATAGAGAAAGAGTCTCAAATGGACAACTGTCCTGTGTTGCTTTTCCCTAGGCCTTCAGCAGCCATATTGACTCTCCCTGCCTCTGAGCTCTGGACTCTGTTCGAATATCCTGAGTAGTGTATGGACAGTTCAGGGCTTATGCCCAGCAGCCCACTGGAGGCATTCTTCAGGCTCCTTTAAGGCAGGTGCATTGATAGTTCCATTAGTATGACCCTTGCATTGGCACCCCTCCAGCCTGGAGGCCAGGCCTCCAGCAACTTCCTTCTGCCCCAGAACAAGTCACAAGCCCCAGAGCAACAGCAGGAGACTTGAGAAGTAGAGTCACGAAAACAAGCACTTAATTAAATTACAAAATTTAACTTTATAGGGCTTCCTTTTGATGTTTTCATTTTTTAATTTCTTTTCATTTTTTTCCTCAATCCTCCTCCTCCTGTAGCAGGGCTGTCCTTTGGTCCTTACCCGGTGTGCTTCGAAAGGGATCAGGAACAGCAGCAGGAACAGGCAGCTGGAGGGAAGTGACAGAAAACAATAAAACCACCTCTGTCTGCGCCCATGTAGTGCAGGTCATTGGCCCCACACACAACAGGAAGCCCATGAGCATCTGTTACGTCTTTCAAGCAGTGGGTTCCGTGGATGAACAATACATGTGAGAATATCTCAGAATCAGCAAAAGGCAGGAGACCTGACTTCAGATTCTAGCTCTGCCACATAACAACTTGCCACTTGATGCAATGAAAGTTTCACTGACCTCATTAGGGTTGTGAGGATTAAAGGTGTAATATACATGGAGGTACCTGATCCATCAAAGATGCTCAAGTTCATAAAAATGATACTCAGTATCTAGAAAATATGTACACGTCTTCCTCCATAATACTAGCCAAGTAAAAGATGTGGAATGCTAACCAGGCCTCTTCTGGTGAATATTTGCATGCCTACCCTGTGCCAGCCTTGTGCCAGGGCTGTGGGAAGCAGATGCAGGCTGGTTTCGTACATTTAGTAATCCAGGGAGCACACATGTGAACAGATGTTCTCAGTGGAATTGGCTGGTCTGCCACCAATAGGTCATTAATCGGTTATTAAAAGCTGAAGAGTCCTAAGAGGAATATTTTGTGAAGTCGCGGTAGAAATGGGTTAGCTCTGGGAGTCGGGGCAGGACACATGTGGGAAAGTGAAATGGGAGGAAGCGTTTGAGCTGAGGCTTGAGATGGTAGACTGCCATTTAGAGGAGGAAAGAGGCACATGCCGAGTGAAGGTAAGCAGCAGGAGACAGGGCTGGGGGAATGGTCGAGGAAGGGTTGTCCAGAGCAGGCAGACTACTAGGGGGACAGGTGATGAGGCTGGAGAGGTGGACAGGGGTCAGCTCGTGGAGCGCCACAGGTAGTGACAAGAATTTTAAGCAGAGTGGCATGGCCAGATTTAGGATCTAGACCAGGATTCAGCAAATGTTTTGTGAAAAAAGATCAGATAGTAAATATTGTAGACTGTGAGACTTACAGTTTCTGTTGCAGCTGTCCAACTCGGCCATCATAGTGTGAGAGCAGCCGCAGACAATATGTAAATGAAAGAGTAAGACTCTGTTCTAATGCTTTATTTGTACACACTGAAATAATTTCATATGATTTTTATGTCACAAAATATTCTTTTGACTTTTTTCCCCAACCATTTATAAACATAAAAACCATTCTTAGCTCATGAGTTGTGCACAAATAGGCAACAGGCTAGATTTGACCAGGGACTTTATTTTACCTACTCTGTTCTGGAGCAGTCCGTCAGGCAGAAGAGTATAAAAGGGATTGGAGGGCTACTTCGAGGCAAGAAGCTCAGCCAGGAAGCTGCAGAAGTGATCCAGGGAGAGAAATGAGGGTTATGGGAGTTGGCACTGCAAAGAGGGAGAGATTCAGATCAGGGAGGTAGGATTGGATGCCAGAGGTTAATGGGAGAACTAGCCCCCCTCAGATCACCAAGGGGACCCCAGGTCTCCTCAGCAAGGGGAAGCTGCTGCTCATAGCTTTGGTGGATTCCTCACTGAGCTGTGGCATTGGACAAGAGTGTACAGGAGCATGAGCTAGAGGGAAAGAGCCCTCTGCCTCCGCCACCCCATGCATGGAGGGAGGGCACCAGGACCCCAAGCTGTTGCTCCCTGAGAATCAGGTGGTAACTTCTCTCCCACACTGCTAAGCAGGAGAGGTTTTTTTTTTTTTTTTTTTTTCAAGATGGAGTCTCGTCTGTCGCCCCAGGCTGGAGTGCAGTGGCCCGGATCTCAGCTCCCGCCCGCTCCGCCTCCGGGTTAACATTCTCCTGCCCAGCCTCCGCGAAGTAGCGGGCTACAGGCCGCCACATCGCCCGCTAGGTGTTGTACTTTTAGTCAAGACGGGGTTCACCGTGTTAGCCAGGATGGTCTCGATCTCCTGACCTCGTGATCCGCCCGTCTCGGCCTCCCAAAGTGCTGAGATTACAGGCGTGAGCCACCGCGCCCGGCCCAGCAGGAGAGTTTTTATGGGCCAGAGCTTTCCAGAGACCAAATTCTCTCTGAAATTCCCTCTGGCTTGTTTGGCAGGGCCAGTTGCTGTCAATAGTGTTACCTGCCTGGCATGCAATAGTGGTTATATGCGGGACTGTGGAGATGAAAGCAGGCCCTCCTAGTTGCAGGTCTGTTGGCCACAGCCCTAGATCCTGTCTTGAAGAGGCCTGAGAAGGTGGCAAGGGAGGAGGAGGAGAAGGTCTTGAGGGGGGAGGAGGGGCAAAGACTCGCTCACTGAGTCCTATAGATTAAGGTTTGGGGGAGAATCCCTCCTGTGTAGTGCTGGCCTTCTTTCTTTATGCCCGAAAGCCTGGAGACCTTGTTCCCTAAGGAGAACCTGCTGATGTGCCTCCTCTTCTAAAATCAGGGAGGAACGGCCAGGCCAGCTCCTTCACCATGGCAGACCTGCCTTCCTCATTAGCCTTCCTCACACACAAACATTGGGAAGTTCAGCCTCCCTAACTTCCCACATGGCCTCAACACAGATGTCCCATAGCATCTCCCATGGCTCAAGGATCCCCAGGGACTTCTCTAGGCCATGTCAGTCCCTCAGCCTACAAAGGCCAAGCCCAGAAGGAACAAGTTCCCTGGGGTCACACTGCCACACTAGAAACATCCTGTACCAGGAGGGGGCTGAGTCCTCAGGACAAGGGGAGCTGTTTTTCTTCCTGGCTTCCCCGAACACAGCTCAGTGGGAAGTCCTTCCCAGTGTCCCAGGCTCCCCTCAGCCCAGGCTTTGCAAGATCATTCTTCATAATGCCCAACCTTCTGGGAGAGCTGTCTGCAGAGAATCCAGCTGGACAGCTAGGATATCTGTGTTGCTGCCTCCACTCACTCTGTCCCTGGGCAGTTTGGGCATCAGTTTCTGCATCTGTCAGGTGAGATAATGGTTCCTGCTCATGGGCTTCCCAGAGCGATCGTGAGGGTGGTCAGTAGACAGAGAGGGTCAGAGATCAGGAGAGTCTCTAAGTGCCATGTGGCATCTCAGCACAGGCGAACCTCTGGAGCCCATACCAGGTCTGGCCCTCAGAGAATAGCTCTTGGGGAAGGGGGAAAGGAACAGAGCTGTAATCAGGCTGCTCAGACAAGGGCTAGGGTTTTGGCCACCCCTACTGACACTCCCCTCACTAGATTCAAGCCTGACACATCAGTGAGGGAGTTGAAAGTCCTCATCTGCTCACATTTTCCTCAGAACCTTTTTTTACAGTAGGTAATGGCTATTGAGCACTTAATATGTGCTGAGCACCACAGCCATCTCTTACTCCTCAAAGCCCCATGAAACCAGCATGGTGGCACACATCTCAGCTACCCAAGAGGCTGAGGCAGGAGGATTGCTTGAACCCTTGAGTTGTGCAAGCCCAGGAGGCTGCAGTGAGCCACGTTTGCACCACTGCACTGCAACCTGGATGACAGAGCAAGACCCTGCCTCCAACAAAACAAAGGCCAGGTGCAGTGGCTCAGGCCTGTAATCCCAACACTTTGGGAGGCTGAGGCAGGAGGGGATCACTGGAGCCCAGAAGTTCAAGACCAGCCTGGGCAGCAAAGTGACACCCCGTCTCTACAAAAAATTAGCCAGGTGTGGTGGCATGCACCTATAGTCCCAACTACTTGGGAGGCTGAGGTGGGAGGATTGCTTGAGCCCAGGAGGTTGAGGCTGCAGTGAGCCAAGGTTGTGCCATTGCACGCCAGCCTACACAACAGAGAGAGACGTCTCAAAAAAAAAAAAAAAATCCCCGTGAAGTATGTATTCTTATTACCCTCATTTTACTAGAGGGGAAACTAAAGATTGGAGAAGTTAGGTCTCTTGCCCAAGATCACTCAGCAAACAACCGATGATCTGAAATTCCTCTCAGGTCTGTGTCCTTGACAAGAGCTGTATGAATTGCCCCTGAAACTGTCTCAAAACTGCCTTGGAATTGGGGCATTCGTACAGCTCTTCTTGGAGTTCCTGGGGCAGAGTGGCCCAGGTCAGTCCAAGTGGAAGGAAAGTTTACACATATTCCAAAGCAGAAAACACCAGTTAATCCCCAACTCCTGCTCTGGAAGACAAGGCTTTTTCTCCAGTGGCCACTAGGGTGCAGTATGTATCCCTAAACCCAGAGCCTGGGGGTGGAGTGGAGGAACGCTTACACTTTGCCTCCGGAAAGCTCTCTGTAAAACTGTTCAGTAGAGTTTATAACCAATATTTTTAAAATTTGTCACATTTCATTTTTTTAATATTATTTTCTCTCTGCTTGTTGATATACACAGTATAGGCCATGGGAAGGTTTAGGGCAAAGGAGTGAATGATAAAGCCTAGCTTCTTGTTGTTGTTTTTGAGACAAGTCTTGCTCTGTCCCCCAGACTGGAATGCAATGGCATGATCTCGGCTCACTGCAACCTCTGCCTCCTGGGTTCCTGCGATTCTCCTGTCTCAGCCACCTGAGTAGCTGAAATTACAGGCCTGAAATTACAGGCGTGCACCGCCACGCCCGGCTACGTTTTGTATTTTTAGTAGAGACGAGGTTTCACCATGTTAGCCATTCCAGTCTCAGGTGATCCGCCTGCCTCATCGTCCGAAAGTGCTGGGATTAGAGGTGTGAGCCACCGCATCCAGCCTGCTAGCTCATTTTTTTAAAGGGTAATGCTAGCTACTGTATTGAGACTAGACCACAGGGCTGAGTGGGAACAAGGGAAGAGGCTGGAAGACCAGAAGGCCCCTGCTATAATCTGAAAGAGGCAGCATTGGCTGGAACCAAGGTAACAGTGCTGTAGTGGTGAGGAGTGGCTGGATTCTGGACACATTTTGCAGCTTAACACCTATAGCTTTTGCCAACAGCTGGGATGTGGGGTGTGAGAGCGAG